ATCCTACAGTTGATATCGTCAGGGGCATGCGGTTCGTACTTAACCACCCACCGCCTGACGCCGATCGGAGCTACCGGCCGAACCGAGTTAACTCGCCTGAGTTGTCCTCCATAATCGCCGGCACCTTTCCCTTTCTCTTCTCCTCCATCATCTCCTCAAGATTTATCTTCGTTTCCCTTATCAATTCCCACAATTCTTCATTCATTTTTCTATTCCCAAACAGAGAAGACAGCTTCTCTTTGCAATCCTCTGTTCTCTTCAAACAACTCGAAAACTGAATCAACTCGCCGCCACTCAAACTCACCATTCTCTCTCCGAGTTCCCCTACTCGAATCGAGATTTCGCGTTGGACCGACCTATAATCTTCCCCAACGAATCTCACCGCCTCAAACACCAAACTGTTCCGGCGAAGGTGGAGCGACTCCGGTACATTACCGATTTGCTCAACAAATCCAACAAGAACATCAACGCCGTTTAAAATATCCAAATTTGACAAAACCGAAACCTTCCCTCGTTTATCATCATCCTTTGCACCCGGAGGAGAACAGAGGTAATGACCCAAAAGCCGTGAAACCATCAAATTCTGCTCCAGAACCCCTGCGTACCACCGAACCCAAGATGAAATTTCCCAATTTTCGTGGTCGGAACCATCCCTGAACCTTGACATGTTAAGGAAATTCCGACCACCAGAAGAAGGGTAAACGGAGAGCTGATCTTTCAAGATAAATGATCCCTTTGCAATGACATTATGTACTGCGTATAGACACTTAAGGGCAACCGTGGCATTCTTTGTTCCGTGCAACCGGTCCATGAGAGCCTGGATGCAAGCGGATGCGGTGGCACGGGAACCCTGTCCAAGAGACAGCACGGCAGCGATACGATTGTCAGAGGTCAGCGAAGGCGCGCCGTGGGAAGTGGCGCGTATAATCACGCGACGGATAGAAGAAGCATGGCTTTTGGTGGAGAGGGTCGTTTTGATCAAGGAAGCTTTGTCCTTGAAAATGCCAATCACAATCCTCAGCTTCCGCCGGTAACCCATGAAAATCAGAAGAAGCAGAAGTAAATCGGGAGGGAAGAAAACAGCGACGTAATTAATTAAGCATAACAGAGACATGAATTACTGAGTACATATAAAACTATAAATATATTTTTTAAACAGACACACGAAAACGTGTTATTATTATTATTATTATTTTAAAATAAATTATAATTATTTACGTATTAATTAGAGAAATTAAAAAAAAAAAAATTGGTGAGATTCTAACACATAACACGCAACTCACATAACCCCACTGTCCGGTACGGGCCGCTCCGAAACCGTGTTATTATTGATCGAATGGTTAACGGAAAAAAAATAGTACGATATGAAATGATGTTTTTTTACCGTTTCTTCTTTCGGCGAATAAGGATAAGTCAAATGTTGCGCGGAGCCGGCGCGTATCTGGCCGTGTTAAGGAAACGAGTATTCTTAATGCACAAAAAGTCTAAGGCAAAATGCTACAAGTCCTCAACTTACTCTAAATTGTTGATTAAGTTCTGAGATTTTTATTAAAGTAAATAAATATCCAATTTTAGTGATTTAAGTAATTTAATTTTTTTTATAATAAATTTAACATTTATTTGTACCTTATTTGTATGGATAAAATCAATACCTACTATATAAGTAATAATATGTCAATACTTTATTACATAAATGAGGTATAAATGAACATTAAATTTATTTTTAAAAAAGAGTTAAATTACCTAAATTACTAAATTTATGAGGTTTATTTGTTTTAATAAAAATTTAAGTATTTAATCAAGAATTTAGAGTAAATTTAGGAGCTTAACATAGGATTTTACCAAAGTCTAATTTTTAAAAAATAATTGTTAAAAAGTCATCAAGATTTTTGTTTACATTTCTAT